GGCTCACTTCTGGCAGGGGTCAGTTCCAGGTGTTGTGCTGGGAACTAACCTGGGCTGGCCACACGCAAGGCCAGTGCCCCACCAATGCGCAATCACTCCAGCCCCTCTTCCACATATTTATTTATCGTGGTACTAGTGATCAAACCCAGGACCGCATACATACAAGGTATAAATTTTATGCTTCATTAAAAAATATCCTTGTGCAGGGCCATGCTAATCTTCTCTGTATTGTTCCAATTTTAGTATATGTGCTGCCGAAGTGGGCTGGAGCGATAACACAGCGGTAGGGCATTTGCCTTGCATGCGGCCGACATGGCCAACCCAAGTTCAATTCCTCCACCCCTCTCGGAGAGCCCGGCAAGCTACCGAGAGTATCTCACCCAAACGGCAAAGCCTGCGGCAAGCTCCCCATGACGTATCCGATATGCCAAACACAGTAACAACAAGTCTCACAATGGAGATGTTACTGGGCCCGCTCGAACAAATCGAAGAACAACGGGAGGACAGTGCTACAATGCATTAAAAAATATGGAAAAAATACGGAACACGCCACAGATCCTGGCCGTTCTTGCGCAGGCCCGCCACACTTTTATTGTGTGGGCTGAAGCAAGCGCCTGGCCAGTGTCCCTCCTGAACCGACCGCTAACTGAGAGATAAAACTACTACGGAATACAAAAATCAAAAGAGACTTGATGGAACGCAAATATTTCTAGGTTAGCTGCAGACTGTGGAGGCACACAAACTGGCACAGAAAATACTAAGTCTGTTTCTAAGGTAAGTTTCCATAACCAAAACAGTTCGGGGGGGAAAAATAATTTTTTTTTTAAGTGCTAGGAATCAAAGCTAAAGCGTCACACACACAAGACAAGTGCTTTAGGGCTGAGCCACATGCCTGGCCTGACAAGAAAAATCTCAAGCTTAGGGGCTAGAGTCATAGCACATTGGGGAGGGCACTTGCCTTGCACTTGGTCGGCCCGGTTTCAACCCCTGACATATGGTACCCCAAGACTTCCTGGAAGGGTCCAGAGATGTGATTCAAGTGGTCACAAGTGGTCAGATCCAAGTCTGGGGGGAGGCCCTGAGCTCAGAACACCACCAGTGTGACCCAAAAAAACAAAAATAAGTAAAAAAAATTCAGGTATTACCAATCTAATAGCGACCAATTATTTACCTGTGCTATAAACCAGCATGAGTTAAAAAAAAAAATACCTGGAAGGGTCCAGAGATGTGATTCAAGTGGTCACAAGTGGTCAGATCCAAGTCTGGGGGGAGGCCCTGGGTCCCACTCCTGCAGTGAACACAAGTGGATGTAGCCCTGGGGGCTCCCAGGCACTAATGATCCTGAGCATTGTGGGGAGAAGCCCCACAACAATCATGTAAACATGTAATAAACAAAAAAAGGAATTTAATTTAACTATGTTGGGAAAAAGACCAAAACCACCTGCTGGACTTTCCCATCTTGCCTTTTCTGGGCCTCCCTATTCTGAGACATGATGCTGAAATTAATCAGTGACCTTGGAAGGGCCTCTAAGGACTGAAGTGAAAGCTGAACAGTCACTGGTTCGAAGGGCTGGAGTGCATTCTCTGAATTAGGAGGGACCAAGCTCAATCCCTGCACTGCACCATCCCTCCAAGCACCACAAACCTCGAGGGCAAGTAGGAGGGCGGGAGTACAGAAGGAGGGAGGGAGGGAAAGGCAATCACATGCCTCTCCCTTTAAGACAAAAGCTAGAAATCATTCACATTAATGAGAAAAGCATGTCAAATGCTGACATGAACTCTGGCCCCTTGGGAAAGTTCTTGAAGGAAATTATGAAATTATCTCAATGACCACATTAACAGTAGGAGGGAGGACCAGGAAAGTAGTTCAAGGGGCTAGAGCACAAGCTTTCATTCAAGAGCCTTGGGTTTGATCCCTGAGCACCGCTGGGAACAATCTCTGAGCACTGAGCTAGGAACAGACCCCAGGCATCACTGGTTACGGAAAATTTTTTTAAAATGGCAAAATGGTCTTCATAACAGGCATGAACAAAGTTTCAGTAGCCTGGATATAAAAGTTCATCAGCTCAAGACTCTAACTCTTCGTTTCAATGAAGGCTGAGAAGACTGAGGAAACTGTGGAAGAAAAATCTGCAACCAACAGGGGTAGTTTGTAAAGTCTCAGAAGAGACCCCAACTCCACAGCTTCAGGCCACTTCCATTATCTGAAGGTAAAGCAGGATGTCCTGGGCCTGGGGAAGTGGCAGGAAGGGATTCAGGTGGCCTAAGATAAGTGAAGATGTTCAATACAGAGGAAACAGCCTTTATTATTAATACTATAAATCACTCAGGGTGCCTAAATTTTTTAAAAGGAAAGAAGAAAACATTCTTATATTGGAAGATACTACAAAGGATTTGTGCGGTTGGAGAAAACAAAAAGACAAGTTAATGCCTGCATTTAAGCTTCAAAGGATAGGCTCTTTCATTAGAGGATAATAGAGCTGGTTACTTTAAGTTGAAGCCAATGCTCATTGATTGCACTGAAAATCCTAGGGCTTTAAGAATTAAGAATTAATTCTAGGCTAGGGAGATGACTCAAAGGACTTCAGCACAGGCTTTGCATGTGTGAGCCCGGGGTTTAATCCTCGCACACAGGATCCCCTGAGCACTGCCAGGAGTAAACACTTTGCAGGAGTTGGGAGCAGTCCCTGAGCAAGACCAGATGTGACTCAAAAACAAAATTAACTCTGCTCTGCTTGTGCTCTGGAAAAGGTACAAAAAATCTGTAGGACAGCACAATTATGGCAACATTGCTAGAAGTCCACCATAGAGACCTTCTGCTCAGAAAAAAAATTCCTTTCAAAATATGACTGCTCACTATATGGACACTTAGATAGTGGAGGAAGTAACTGCAGACAGGAGAGAAAGAGCAAGAAAATTGGAGTTTAAAATCAGAAGTTGAGCATAAAGATAGGACTGAATTATCATGAGACTGTGATCTCAAGATAAAACTTTAAGAGGAAAAGTCTCTTACAAAGGAAGTGGTTTCTTGAGATGGAATCTCCTGGTGAGGAAGCTGTGATCATTACTGAAAAGGCAAGATAAGATTGAGAACATCACAATCCACTTAGTGACAAAGTGTGTCAGGGTGGAAAAGGTTTACTCTGATTTTTTTTTGTTTGGGGGCCACGCCCAGTGACTGAGGACCTTATGAGATGCCAGGGATAGAACCTGGTCGTTTGTAAGGCGAGCACCTTGCTGGCTATATTATCTCTCTGGCCCAATTTACTCTGATTTTAAAAGTTCAACTGTGGGTAAGATAGTATCAAAGAACTTGGTATGCCACAAAGAAATCTGCTCTTATTTTTCTGTTGGGGGCCACACCCAGCAGTGCTCAGGGGATACTCCTGAGCTCAAGAATCATACCTAGTGTGCTTAGGGGACCACATGGGATGCCAGGGATTGAATCCATGTCAGCCATGTACAAGACAAACACCCTACCTGTTATACCCCCTACAAAGAATTCTTTCAGGAAAGAAAAAGGCAATCAGAGCTATTAAGCGTAATTGTCTTATTTTAAGAAACTGAGGAAAGGGGCAAAGTTCCAACCTGGGCCAGCCACATGCAAGGCAAACGCCTTACCCACTTGTACTAGTTCTCCAGCGTCCACAATAAAATACTCCTGGGGTACATTTTCCTTTTGACATAATGATAGTATATACTTATTAGACCCCCATGCAGCGTGACATAGCTTTCACACGTTCTGGGAAACAAAACACATCCATGTGACTGGCTTTACTGCAGCCTCAGGATCTCCCAGGCATGCCTGTACATGAGTTAGGCAGTCAGGACAAACCAACAGTGCTCACAAAAGTGCTTTAAAAAGGCAGTTCACCCCCAGTCACCAGCGACTCAACTGTTCAGAGCAGCAGAATGTAGCAAGACAGAAGAATTATTTATACACACACTCTGGACTGAGAGCAACAGATGGCAGACCGTGTCAAGCAATCTCTCGTGTTGAAAGAATTCTTGTGTTGAGGCCAACTGCTAACTATTGTGTCAAACTTGTTCAGCAATTCTGCTCCAGGAGGAAGAAGCAACAAGAAAAAGGGAGGGAGCTTCACTTCCAAGATGTTCTCAGCAGCAACTAAACATAGCTAAAGGGCGGAGCCAAGGGCCCACATAGGGAGCTGCACCACCCGGCAGTGAGAAGTGAAATGGTTTCCTATGTTTTTCCTGGTATGCAATGCAATGTACATTAAGGGTTTTCAACATATAATCATTCCAGGCTTTTTTGCTGTATCACCAAGTAAATGGGCACGGTATGGGCCTATCTATGCCTACAGAATGAGAGAATTAGATCTGAGAAATAGAAACACAAAGGCCTATACAGTCGACAATGAACAGTCTACAATTCCTTCCAATCTTCTAAGAGAAAATCCACTTTCCAAATCTTTTTCCGACACAGAATCATCAATTTCCTGTGTTACTTAATATAAGTAAGTAAAGTAAGTAAAGGCCCTCCCGTTGATCGTCAATTTGCTCGAGCGGGCCCAGTAACGTCTCCATTGGAGACTTTGTTGTTACTGTGTCTGGCATATCGAATACTCTCGGTAGCTTGCCGGGCTCTCCGAGAGGGGCGGAGGAATCGAACTCGGGTCGGCCATGTTGGCCGCTTGTAAGGCAAACGCCCTACCGCTGTGCTATCGCTCCAGCCAGTTACTTAATATAAGAATAAGGAATGCTTTTTTATTATTGGATCCATAAACTAAATTTATTACAAAACCACATGGAACATGGTTTTAGAGTTTCAACCTTGTTTAAGAAACAAATAGAAGCACGAACAAAATGTTTTCTACTGTTTAAGATCCAGCTATTCTTTTTTCCTGAGATGGTACTAAGTCCAAATGCCTGAAAAATAGGATTTTTGCTTAAAGGGATTTTTTTTAATGACAGTAATTCTATTTGCGTAAACAGAAATAAAAACAATTGAAACATAATAGAAGCAAATGACATCTTACCTTCTTACCACTCTCAGGCTTAAGGTCACTCTGTTAAAAGAGGAAAACATAGTCAAACTCTCACTATGAATTTGTTTCCAACTGGAAATATGAGACATCATTCTTAGAGTAATTAAGTTCCCTGAGACCTCAGAATTTGTAAAAAGGTAGTGCTCCCCTACCCACCCACCCTTGGCTCTGACCTAATAAGAACCATTGTGCGAATCATACAGGTTTTTTTTTTCCTTTTTGGGTCAAACCCGGCAATGCTCAGGGGTTACTCCTGGCTCTACACTGAGGAATTACTCCTGGCGGTGCTCGAGGGACCAAAGGAGATGCTGGGAATCAAGCCCGGGTCGGCTATGTGCAAAGCAAACACCCTACCCGCTGTGCTATTGCTCCAGTCCCTCAAATCATATAGTTTTAAAAGTTGAAAGGGGTTGGAAAGATAAAACAGCAGGAAAGGCGCTTGCCTTGCATGCAGCTAACCTGGGTGTGAGCCCCGGTACCCCATAGGATTCCCCAAGCCCACCAGGAGGGAGCCCCAAGTACAGAACCAGGAGTAAGTCCCGAGTACCATAGTCAGCAAATCACTTGGAGCAAGTAATCTGCAAAAAGAGACAAACCGGGGCTGGAGCGATAGCACAGCGGGTAGGGCGTTTGCCTTGCACGCAGCCAACATGGCCGACCCAGGTTCGATTCCCAGCATCCCATATGGTCCCCCGAGCACCGCCAGGAGTTAACTCCTGGGTGAAGAGCCAGGAGTAACCCCTGAGCATTGCCGGATGTGACCAAAAAAGCAAAAAAAAAAAAAAAACAAAAAAGAGAGAGAGACAAACCACTGTTTTACATAGAAAGGCCATTAACTGCATTACAAAATAGATCAGTAAATAAAAATAATCCAAAACCCATTCCCTTGGTTTTTTTATACATGTGCTGCTTTGCAAACAAAAAGCAGCATTTTAGCAAGGCTCGATAGATGATTTAGGAGAAAATTTTGGCTTTATGCGAGGGTTGAACTTGCACTTTCATAATTCATTGCCTATGTTCTCTGTTAAGTAGCTTCCTCCCCACGAGCATGTTTAACTCGGCTCTTACCGGGTGCACATCACCAATATAGTACTGCTTTAGCATCTCCCTGGCGTCAGAGGAGTGGCCAACGTCTTCGAAGCTCTCACTTGCGTCTGCTCCAGCCTGTTCCAGCAGCACCTCTTCTCCACCAGGATGCTACAAGGAAAAGACAGAGTAGGGAATCTCTTAAGAGCAAACCAGTATTACTCCTTTCCCCTCCCTATCTCTCTCCCCCCCCCCTTTTTTTGGGCCACACTAGCAGTGGTCAGGGCTTACTACTAGCTCTGCACTTCGGGGGTTACTCCTGCCGGGGCTCAGGAAACCACATCGAGTGTCCAGGATCCAACACGGATTGGCCAAAATGGGACTGGAGCGGTAGTGTAGCAAAGAAGGCACTTGCCTTAAATGCAGCTGACCCAGGTTCAGTCCCTGGCATCCTATGTGGTTCCCCTGAGCATGGCCAGGAGTTTTCCTGAGTGCAGAGCCAGGTTCTCCCGTGAGCATTACGGATGTAGCCCCAAAACAAAATCAAAGCAAACAAACAAACAAATAAACAAACAAAAAAGAACAAAGTAACAATTGATGCCACAGTAACAAAGTGCAATGAAAAGAATTAGACATTTTTTTCAAGAATATTCTGGAGCCTTGGGGCTGGAGCAATAGCACAGCGGGTAGGGCGTCTGCCTTGCATACAGCAGACCCACGTTCGATTCCCAGCATCCCACATGGTCCCCCGAACACCGCCAGGAGAGATTCCTGAGTGCATGAACCAGGACTAATTCCTGTGCATCGCTGGGTGTGACCCAAAAAAGAAAAAAAAAAAAAAAAAAACAAAACAAACCAACAAAAAATTCTGGACCCAAATATATAATACAGATTTATAGCTGAGGAAACCCAGGACCCAGGCTAACTGAAAGAAACTCTACAAAACAACTGATCAAGAACTGTTCCCAAATAAAGAAGGATCACTAGCACAGTGTGTGTTTCTGGGTTGTTGCCTTTGGTCAACATTATTGATGAGTTTTTTTTGTTTTTTTGCTTTTTTGGGTCACACCCGGCGATGCTCAGGGGTTACTCCTGGATCATGCACTCAGGAATTACTCCTAGAAGTGCTGGGAATCGAACCTGGGTCGGCTGCGTGCAAGGCAAACACTCTACCCACTGTGCTACTGCTCCAGCCCCTGGTCAACATTATTGAGACAGCTGCAGAAACCCAAAAGGGAACTCGAAGCAAAATGAGGACTTACGGAATTCTTCATTCTATTCCCACAACTTTTCTCCAATTTCCAAATGTTTTCAAAATAAAAGGCTAAACAATCAGATCAAAATACAGTAAACTGTCTTTATACCAAAGTAAATTCTATCTATAAGTAGCTTTTATAATTTACAAGGCAGATGACATTAAACACGTCACTAAGAAACTGAGATCTGGGCCAGAATGACAGTACAGAGGGTAGGGTGCTTGCCTTGCCTGTGGCCGACCAGGATTCGATCCCTGGCATCTCATACAGTCTCCTCAGCACCGCCAAGAGTAAGATTACTGAGTGCAGAGCCAGGAGAAACAGCTGGGTATGTTCCCTCCCCCCCCAAAAAAAATGTATTGAGATCTCTTATTTTCCTTCATTGTAAAACGAAGATAAAATATGTTGCACTTATCTAACCATTTATCAACATTCTGGATTAATTTAAATGGAAATAACTAAATTTGAGTTCTAAATTTTTCAGGTTCTTTTGCTACAGGGCCTGAGCAAAAGCACAGTGGGTAGGGCGTTTGTCTTGCATGCGAACAACCTGGGTTCGATTCCTACATCTCTCTCAAAGAGCCCAGCAAGCTACCGAGAGTATCCCACAGCACAGCAGAGCCTGGCAAGCTCCCCGTGGCATATTCGATATGCCAAACACAGTAACAAGTCTCACAATGGAGACGTTACTAGTGCCCGCTCGAGCAAATCGATGAACAATGGGAAGACACTGCTACAGTGCTATTGTTTTATGGGTTGTTCTTCTGGGGGGAGGAGGGGGGTGGTGTGGAGGGTGGGCCACACCTGGTATGTTTGGGGATTTCTCCTGGCTCAGGGACCACCCCTGGCAGATGTGCCCCCCAGCCCTCCCCACCAAAAAAGGGAGAGAGATACTCATTTCTGGCAGGTATATAGCTAAAGACTGCCTGAGGAAAATTCTGTCTGGATTAAACGATCAAGGGAAGAAGCAGAGTGCCATTTTTATATGGCAGTAGATGAGATTTGCAGGTTGAGTACTATAATCAAGTACAAGTGACTCTTGACTCAAATTAATTCATCCTGTGTTTTCTTTGAAAAACTAACGTGGAAGTAAAACTAGGAAAATCAAAATAAGATCTATGGAGTGTACCAATGCCAATACACTGTCATTTTATACTACAGTTCTACTAAATGCTATAATGGAGGGGTGGAGGGAGAATGGGAAAGGGATCATTATTATTGTTGTAACTGCACATGTGTCTATATCAATAAAAATGTCACTGCAGGGGGCCAGAGCAATAATGCAGCACCTAGGGGCTGGAGCATAGCACAGCAGGTAGGGGGTTTGCCTTGCACATGGCCGAACTCGGTTTCAATTCCCCGCATCCCATATAGTCCCCTGAGCACCACCAGGAATAATTCGTGAGTGCATGAGCCAGGAGTAACCCCTATGCATCGGGTGTGACCCAAAAAGCAAAATAATAATAAGAAGAAGACAGGGATAAAGCATTTGCTTTGCACACAAACCACCCAGATTCAATCCCTGGCATCCCATATGGTCCCCAAGGAACTGCCAGGAGTGATTACTGAGTGCAGGGCCAGGAACAACACCTGAGCATCACTGGGTGTGATCCAATTTAAAAAAAAAAAAATTCACTCATTCCCCAAACGAACAATGATCCCTGAATTATCCAGGAATAAGCCCTGAACGCAGATGGGTGTGACCCAAAACAAAAACAAAAACAAGTCATTGTAGCATGGTTCACAACATTAAATACATCCATACACACACACACACGCGCGCGCGCGTGGAAATGAAGGCCAGAGCAACAGCTCAGCAGGCTGAACACACATTTTGCATGCAAGAGGCCTGGATTTGAACCCTGGCATCGCACAGTACCCTGAAATCCTCCAAGAGCAAACCCTGAGTACACAGACAGGAGTAGCTGCTGAGCACTGCTAAATGTGGCTCCAAAAAATAAAATGTAAAGAGAAAACTCGTCATTTGAATGGATGAGTGAGCATATATGAGTATTTTTTGCCTTAAAAGGACTTCTGATATGTGCTTTCACTGCCTGGGTCCCATGAAAACTGAGGTAGCATGAGATTTCACCCTTTGTGCGGCAGGATCTACAACCCCTTTGTCAGCATGAAGTTAAAGAACTCTGACCAGTCTCCCCTTAACGAAATCTCCATGGGGGAATATGATGTAGGCAGGGAGATTAGGGAAGAGCACGCACCCCAACATCATGGAATGAAATTCCTAGAATAAAGCCACTAGTCCTAAGGCTGAGCCAGCTGTGGATACAGAAAGCAAGAACGTGTTAAGACCTCCAGGAGCTGACCCTGAGGAGACTAGACCCTTCCCTACAGAAAGGGCTAAAGGAAATTACTGCAGAACCCTCAACCCACCCTCCAAAGACAAAACCCAGCAGGAACAAAGGTTAAGAAAAGGAGTTTTCAAAGAGGATCTTCAACCACTCCCAAGTCTACCCCCTTGGCAACACCCTAGCAACTGAGAAACCAGATACCTAGCTTGGAGAAACCAGATAAAAGCCACCAAGACAAAGGAACAATTCGCAGAAGCTGCCCCCGTCCATGTGCTTATGCCCACCAAGTCAAGCACATGTATCCCTCCATGTCCCCTCTTGAGATTGCACGTTTCTCTTTCTCTCCTCCCTCTGTTTCCCTCCTTCCCCTTCCTAAAACCCTCCAAATAAAATCTGTTTTACTTTAAATATAAAGACACTATACTCAGTGAAATACACTAGCTATCAATGAACAAATATTACACGACTTTGTATGTGATACCTAGACAAAGCCACAGAGTAAGAAAGCAGAATAGTGCCAACCAGGGCTGGGAAGAGGTGGCAAGGAAGCATCATTGTTTCATGGGTATGGCTGCAGTCTGAGGAGACGAAAAACTTTAGATAGGTGGTGATGGTGACTCAAGAATGAGAATGAAGTTATACCACTGAACTACACATTGACTGGCTGATACGGTAAAGTTATGCTATGTTTTACTGCAAAGAACAAATTTTTTTTTTTTTTTTTTGCTTTTTGGGTCACACCCGGCGATGCTCAGGGGTTACTCCTGGTTCATGCACTCAGGAATTACTCCTGGCGGTGCTCAGGGGACCATACGGGATGCTGGAAATCGAACCCGGGTCGCCCCATGTTGGCTGCGTGCAAGGCAAACGCCCTATCCACTGTGCTACCACTCCAGCCCCTGCAATGAACAAATTTTAAAAATCAAATCATTATGCTAAGCGAAAGAAACCAAATAAATAGGACAAGTGTTAAGTGATTTGCATCAGGTACCTAGATAGGCATATTCATGTAATATGCAGATTAAAAGGTCCAGTTTGGAGAGAGCCATGAGTGGGGAATTACTGCTTCATGGTTCCAAAGTTTGTGTTTGGAGTGACAGAGAAAAAGTTTCAGAATTAGATAGCAGAAATAATTACACACTATAACTTTAATTAACCCAGAATTCTATAATCCAAAAATGGCAAACGAGTTAATAGTCATACATATCTATTATGACTATGTATTGTCACTGTCACTGTCCTCCCATTGTTCACTGATTTGCTCGAGCAGGCCCAGTAACATTGTGAGACTTGTTACTGTGTTTGGCATATCGAATACACCACAGGTAGCTTGCCAGGCTTTGCTGTGCGGGCGAGATACTCTCGGTAGCTTCCCGGGCTCTCCAAGAGGGGCAAAGGAATCAAACTCGGGTCAGCAATGTTGGCTGCGTGCAAGGCAAATGCCCTACCCACTGCGCTATCACTCCAGCCCATGTATTATAACATAACTATATGCAATAGTTACATAATACAGTTATGAAAGAACCACCCAGCGGTGTTCAGGGCTTATTCGGGGCTCTGTGTTCAGTGCGCTGCTTAGGGCAGCCACATGCAGTACCAGGATCAA